GTACACTGTGGTCACACCCATGCTGAACCCCTTTATCTACAGTCTGAGGAATAAAGACATAAAGAGGGCCCTGAAAATATTCTTCCAATGGAAATTGTGAATAAATTGTTGACCTGGGGCTGAAACAATGACCTTAATTGCAGAGATTAGAGCCTTGCAGACAACAATTGTTATTCTCTGTTCAAATACAGACATGTCTATATAATTTAAGTGACACTGTATTTATCTTTCTACAAGCTTTCATATCCCACCATTTTTCTTTAATATCTTTCTACTTTCCAATGTTGTTTCTAGTCTTGTGTCAGAAATACTGTAAGAGTATCATTTCCTCACAAAATGATGTGCAACTCTTAAATTTTTTTTTCTTTTTCTTAAAGAATTTTTTTTATTTAATTTTATGATTATTGTTATTATTTGATTTGACCAGAGAGATAGAGTGAGAGAGAAATGGAAAGTAAGAAAGCATGCTGCCAGTTCTGGGACTCAAACTATAATTGGCCATGTGGGTATCCAGTGCCTCAACCACCATGCCACCTGTTGTCCCCCTTCATGCTACTCTTAAAAATAATGTATTCTCAAATGGTCTATATGATTCTGAGCAATTTTTGTATAATGTTGCTAAAATAAGTTTTTTTGATTTTTTTTCTGCCTATAGACTAGAAGAACAGCAACAAGAAAAAAACAATAGAAAACTACAACAAAAACCACATTATAGTTGGCCACGAATGTCACTAATGGAATTTAGAGTACAGACAAACATGAAAATGCAGATTTTCATGTATGTGTATGTCTTTGCTTCCATTATATCTGTTTGAAATGTAGACTTTAATATATTAGTGTATTTGATTATCTGTGATTATCTCATTAGAATCTCATTCTGTTACTCAACTCAGAGTTCACATGCCTACTGTAATCACTGTCAAAAATTGATGATCAGGCCCAGACTCTGTGATGCAGACCTAGCATATCAGAGTGCATAACTGGAAGCCACATGAGGACTCTGGTTCAAGTCCTGAGTCCAGTCAACCTGAAATCTCAATGGATGGGTGTGTGGCCAGGACTGGAGGGCTGGAGGACAGGAGGAAGAGGGTCTCTGCTTGCCAATGCCTTGTAGAGGATGCCTCTCTCTCTGTTTGTCTGTCCCCTTCTCACTCTCTCTCTCTCCTTTTGTGAACCAACACATTTTATTATGAAGTAAAAAAAAAAAATTATCAGTTACCCGAGTCAAAAAGTTTTGTATATAGAAAGGCAAATCTAAACAAATAGTTGAACAAATTTGGCCTTAGAGTCAGAGAGAGATTTAAATAGGATGAAATGAACATCTCAATTATACATTGTATTAACTCTGCACCATGTTTTTGTTCATCCTGTTCTACTTGTTGAAGGATTCAAAATTGGTGTCCATGTGGAAAGGTGTTTATTCATTGGGGTGAAGGACTGATGGTGTGTTTTATACTGCTTCATTAAATATCTTTGTGTTTCTCATTGAACACTTCAGTGGTGCCTGTAATTACTACTTCTTGTTTTCCTTAAAATAATGACTCCCTCCTCTTTAAAATTTTTTCATACCTGCTGACGGGACAGCGAATGAACAAATATCAGTATAATCCAATAAATTCTTTTGTGTCCTCAAGAATCTGTTCTGAATTCATGAACAGAGAGTCTGAATACCAGCCCCAGTCAGTTGATGCAAGGTCACAACTTTCCTGTAAAAACATTCATATTCTTCAGATTTCTCCTAGTTAACTTAATGGAAAACCCATGCAGTCACTTTTTCTAATTTTGTTCATTCATTCATACATTTATTTATTTATTTATTTATTTATTTATTCGTTCATTCATTCATTCATTCATTTATTAGTTTTGCCATAGAGTATGTGTGTGTGCTTGCCAGAGAGAGAAAGAGAGAAAGAGGAAAAGTGAGAAATCAATAGCCAGAGATGACAGCTACAATATGTCCCTTCTTCTCTAGTCTCCTCTCAGGATTTTGAAAACACACACACACACACACACACACATACACACAGACACACACACTCAGTGTGATTTATGAAGCCACTGGATCTGGGACCAGAACCATGCATTCAGCCACGTGGGATCCAGCACCTTAACTGACAAACCACCTGCTGACCCATGACAATTAAATTTTAATTCATGGTTGGGACCAGCAGTTAGTGTAATGGCTATGTTGCTGGACTCCCACGTAGTCGACCGCGGTACAAGTCCCGGACCCGGTGGCTTAAACTCATGCTGGGCACATGTGCGTGTGTGCCCAAGATCCCAAGAGGAGAATGGAGGAGAAGGGATTGTGGCATGGCCATCCCCCCTGGGGGGTGATTTCCTGCTTTCTGTCTCTCTGTCTCTGTCTGTCTGCACCCTATAGCAAAAATCGCTTCCCCCAATTTTTTTTTTAATTCATGGTTTGTGAGAGGTGCTAATGACCATTGGAGTCCAGAGAGTTCACAGAGAACGTGTAATAAAGATAAATTCATCACACTTTCAACTTGGTCTCTTGAGAACAGCAAATCAACAGGAAATTTTGCCTTTCTTTCCAGACCAGTGTCCACAAGGGAAATCAGTTACCAAGTGGTTGTAGTTATAAGGAGAAAATGTACCTAATGAGCAGCTATAGGGAGCTGTCAATATTTTATATGTCCATGTCCCTCAAGAACTACATCCTTGGGCTGGACAAGACATGGTTGAATTTTCTGGACTTTCCAGACTGGTTAGGGTTCTATGCTTAATTCTTTCATTGTGTTTTATCTGGGGAGAAAGCTGCAGTCTCCATCACCAATCAACTGGATAGATAGTCACCCTTCCATCAGGGGACTGTGCTCTCTGACACCCCATACAGATGAGTCTGAGAGTCTGGTAGGTACTGCAGAAACGAGTCAGAGACAATGCATGTCAAGAACATCTATTTGAGGTCTCCTGAGAGCCAGACCAACCTAGCAAGAGCTTAGATATTGATGTGTTTGGTTACTTGTCTGACAAAGTGATTCATCATTAATTTATTTAATATGTTAACAAGCCATGTGTCTGTCAGACCTAGCAATGCAGGTAATATTGTGGACAATTCAGGGATGGGAATAGACATCTAGTTGGATGAAGGTGAAGAGGGAATTGGAGGAAAAAATGTCATTACAGTCAAATTAGAACATGTGTCCAGAATTTTTCAGTTCACGAAGTAGTATACGTAGAATCAGAGTTGTGATGAGATGTGCAATAACTTTGGGGTTGATTAAGGAATTTTTGAAATGAATATATTTGTGCATATTTCTGTATTTGTTGAAGGATCTAAATGAATGGGATGTTGCAATTCATACCTTGCAACTGTAGTTCATGAGACATACATTCCACAGTTTCTTCTTTTATATTCAGCATTCGCATAAAAATTTATTCAAAGGTCAACATGAGAATATTAAAGAGTTTTTACTTAAAACTATTTTCTTGCTGATGAAAATGAATAGGTTTGTAAGTCTCTTAGCTTTTTACTATATTGCAAATCATACAAGTTTTTTTTTATATTCTGGGGTCTGAGAATATTCTAATTTTTTTCTTCTACTAATAAATTAAAGTTTTAAAATAATATTTTCAGAATAACAATGAATTATTTTATGTATTGATACATATCAATATATATTGGCTGAATATGAAAAGTTAATAGATTTTGTGTTATCAAATCTTGTAAGCCATTCCATTGTGTACATACCCATTCTCCCCAAATTTATAATAACTTACAGAAATTCTTCTACATCAGAAGTAAAAATACTTTATTTTACCCCCCCCGGTAGGGCACACGTGGTCACCTGAGAGAGCGAGAGAGAGAGAGAGAGACAAAGAGGGGAAAGTGAGAAATCACCCCCTAGGGTGTTTTCCATGCTAAAATCTCTTCTCCATTTTCCTCTTGAGATTTTGGGCATGCATGTACACATGTCCAGTGTGATTTTCAATCCGCTGGGTTCAGGATTTGAACCACAGTCTGCCAAGTTGGAGTGCAGCAACTTAACCATTATTTCACTTGCTGGGCTGCCAAATTATGATCTTATAATGCAATTGACTGAATACTAATCAAAAGATAAAAATGAGGAGGTCAAAGTAGATCAAAATACAATTATTTTGACCCATGGAATACTTTTGAATTAAAATACTGAGTGATTCCTCCTTACCTAGGTATCTGAAGTAGTCAAAGTCACAGAAGCAAACTATGGAAAAATGCTTGCCAGGGGATTGGCAAATGGAAGAAACATAGTTGTTTTATTTTCTTATTTAAAAAAATATTTATTGAATTTTATTAGTTATTATTATTATTCAACAAGACCAGATAGAAACAGAGAGAGAAAGAGAGAGAGGAGAGTGAGAAAGCAAGCCACCAGCTCCAAGACTTGAACCATAATCCTCCATGTGGGAGTCTAGCACCTTAACCACCTTGTCTCCTGCTGCCTTGAGTGTTGCTTTTCAAGGGATATAGAGATACAGCTATTGGGTCAGCTGAGGTGGCAGGATTACACATGGTCAACTGCCAGTTAAAGTCCCAGACTCGAATTTTGAAAAAGATGTCAGGTATGTGTACATGCACTCCCAACATTCTGAGAGAAGAGAGTATTGTGTGATGGCCATTCCCGGAGTAGGGTGATTTGTCACTTTTCCTCTTTCTGTTTCTCTGTCTGATGAGTGCATGTGCCCAAGAGCAAAGTAAAACAAAAAACAAATAAAATCCCATTGTAACATCACATTTTACTCCAAAAATATGTACTATTATTTTTTGTTAATAAATTATTTAAAAATTCTGTAGAATACATCATCTGTGGAATAAGGTGTGAGATAAGAAGTCCTAAGCAGAGATGGCACTATGAAAACCTAAAGCAGAATAGATCCATACAAAAATATAATAGAGAACAGTGTGAATGCAAAATATTAACTATGGCATTTCAACTATGAGAGTAATACCTGTTCACATGAAATTAGCCATCATATTTTTCTGTTTTCAGGGAGTTACCATGGAACCAGGAAATGATACACAAATTTCAGAATTCCTTCTTCTGGGATTTTCAGAGAAATCAGAATTGCAGCCCCTCATATTTTGGCTTTTCCTCTCCATGTACCTGATCACTGTGTGTGGAAACCTGCTCATCATCCTGGCCACCATCTCAGACTCACACCTGCACACCCCCATGTACTTCTTCCTCTCCAACCTGTCCTTTACTGACATCTGTTTCACCTCCACCACCGTCCCAAAGATGCTGGTGAACATCCAGACACAGAGCAAGGTCATCACCTATGCAGGCTGCATCACCCAGGTGTTCTTTTACATAGTCTTTGTAGCATTGGATGACTTCCTACTGACCGTGATGGCCTATGACCGGTATGTGGCCATCTGTCACCCCCTGCACTACACGGTCATCATGAATCCCTGGCTGTGTAGAATGCTAGTCCTAGCATCCTGGATCATCAGTGTCCTGTATTCTTTGTTACAAAGCTTAATGGTATTGAGGCTGTCCTTCTGTAAGCATGTGGAAATCCCCCACTTTTTCTGTGAACTTAATCAGGTGGTCCACCTTGCCTGCTCTGACCCCTTTCTTAATGACATGGTGACCGATTTTGCATCTGTGCTGCTGGGTGGAGGGCCCCTTGTTGGGATCATTTACTCTTACTATAGGATCATTTCTTCTATATGTGCAATCTCTTCAGCTCAGGGGAAGTACAAAGCATTTTCCACCTGTGCTTCTCACCTGTCAGTTGTCTCCTTATTTTATTCTACAACTGTGGGTGTGTACCTTAGTGCTGGTTCCATCCACAGCTCACACTCAAGTGCAACTGTCTCAGTCATGTATACTGTGGTCACTCCCATGCTGAACCCTTTCATCTACAGTCTTAGGAATAAAGACCTAAAGAGGGCTCTAAAAATAATTTTCAGAAAAGGAATTGTGAAAGGGTCAATTGGCCTGGAGCTGCAGTAGTACCCATGGTTGCAGAGATTAAACCCTTAGAGGTAAAAAATTGTGATTCTCTGTTGAGATTGTGAAAGTAGAGCTGGTTCTACTTGTCTATACAATTGAAATAATATCGTATCCAGCTTTTCACACTCTTCCATATCCTGTAAATACTTTCTTTGCCATTATTCTACTTCCCAAAGTTATTCCCCACTTCATATCAGCAATACTTTAAAGTTTTTGCTATCTCATATGATAACTCATGCAACTCTTAAGAATAATTTATTCTCAAATTGTGTACATTATTCTGAGCAATTCTAAGCCATGCTGTAATTCATTCTCCTCCATCCACCTTTTGAGATTTTGGGTATGCATGTACATTCTCCCAGTGCAATTCTCAAGGTACTGATTCTGATGCTCAGACTACAACTAGCCATGAGGATACCCAGCATCTCAGCCATGTCATCACTTGCTGACCTACCATATAGCTATTTTCAAATTGTTTTATTTATTTATTTATTTTCATTTATTTTTTCAAATATTTTCTACCTGTGATTGAGTGAATCTGTGGAGATGGACCTCCAGTTCAGGGGCAAGGGGAGCAATTATTATGATCATAGTTTGGGAACTTTCTCCAGCAATATATTTTCTAGAGCTTCTGTTTCATTGCAACTTCATCATCTAATTTAAATAACTTGCTTTATGAAACTTTCTGCTCTATCTGATATCTGGTCAGTGTTATTTTTTGCATGGTATTGTATTTTATGTATTAATTCCAGATTTGGAAAAAAATGGAACTGAAAAGAAGAAGGAGAGAGAGAAGAGAGAGACAGAGAGAGTGAGAAGTCCTCCCAGGAGGGATGGCACACTGCACTTTCTTATCCCCTAATCTCTTCTTGGGATTTGGGCACTCATGCACACATGCCTAGAATGATTTTCAAGCCACTGGCTCTAGGACTTGAACTATGCAATCAGCTATGTGGGATCCAGTGCTTTAACCTTCACACCACCTGCTGGCCTGGGCTTTACTCTCCTTATTAAGGTTGAGTTCTCTTATTTAACCCAGTGTTTACAGCACCCACCATAGTTAAGAGCAAAATTTGATGATTAAACTCATGCCTCAAAGTGGAATGCATGTGAAAATAAAATTGAGATAATTTGCCTTAGAGTCAGAGGTGACCTTAAATGTAATAAAAAAACTTGTAATTAATTATACACTCTATTCTTATAGAAAAATGATTCTTAAAAAAAAAAAGAAATGATTCTTTTTCAGAGCTACTCACTAAGGAAGGACAGATTAATGCTTGTGTGTGAGGGGGTTCTATTTCTTGGTGTATAGTATTGTTTGTTGGGATTTAATATTTCACTATTGGTACATCTTTCTGTTTCTGTTTGAGCACTGCCAGTACTTACTGCCCATATAAATCCTTTCATTGTTTTAAATGTAATAACTCCCTCTTTCATTTTGTTGTAGTCACCAGAGGAGGAGTGAATGAGCAGTATAGATATCATCTGTTATCAACTTCCATGGTCCCGAGAAATACCTCAAGACATCATGATCAATGGGCAACCCATAAGAGAGATTGAGTTCCTATCTGTGTGGTCATAGTCACAAGTTTTTGTGGATGAATAAGCATGTCATTCCACTTCTATTTGCCTGAAAGGGAACTACAATATTCTCTCCCATTTTTTTTAAGTACAATATTTTTTAAGTAGAATATTCTCCACCGCTTTTTTATTTTTGAGGGATAACATATGGCACAGTGGTTAAGGTACTAGATTTCCCCTCAGACAACAGCAGTTCAAATTCTGGACCTATCCGCTTGAAACTCATGCCAAGTACATGTGTGTGTGTGTACAAAATCCCAGGAGGAGAATGGAGGAGAAGAGATTGTGGCAAGTTCATCCTCCCTGGTGGGTGAATTCTCACTCTCTATGTCTTAGTCTCCCTCAGTGAGTGTATATGCCCTTTTGTAAAACTTTAAATAAAGACCAAAAGAGAAAAAAAGAAAAATACTGCATTACAGGAATATGCAATAATTTAACATGCAATTCTAATAGTTAGAAAGGATAACATTCATAATACAAAGTAATGAGAAATGTTAGAGATTTAGAGATGATGGATGTGTTTTATTTCCTGAGAACCACCTTTACATTTATGAAATAGACAAGATCACCCTGTACCAGCTAATGAAAACTCACCTCCATATATATAAACACACAGAGAGTCCTTTATAATCTCATTTTTTATATTAAAAGAATACTCAATAGAAAGTTGGAGAGGATAGAAATATAAAGAATGAACATTTTGCACAAGCAAGAAATATAATCAGGTAGAAATTTAGAGACACAAAAGAAGGTAGAATGGGTGATCTTCATTTTCACAGTAAATTACTTTTCTGTCTTAATGATGATCAAGGGCCTCAAAATCAGAACCATATCAACCTTTGTAAATGGGAAATATTACTCCTAGCTCATGGAGCTAAATGTTTCCAAATTGACTTTTAATTATTTTTTCTGATACTTTCTCCTGCCCTTATCAGAAGAAATTAAGTGAACAAATTGAAAAGCATAAAAGTTCACATGAATAAAACTTTAAAATAGTATTTTTTTTATTTTTGTTAATTATTATCATTATCATTCCTAAATTTGCCATAGGAAACGTGCACTCACCAAAGAGAAAGATAGAGAGGGAAAGTGAGCATGCAAGTCACCAGGTCCAGGATTTGAACCATTGTCAGCCATGTGGGAGTCCAGTGCCTTAACCACCACATCCCCTGTCAGTCTCAATTACAAAGTTTCTAATCATTTTGGCAAAAGTGTCATGAAGCCAAACCATGTAGTGTTCATGGTGACATACGTGGTTTTAATATACTAGATCATATCCAAATAATTTTCTAGTAAAGGGAAGAAGAAATTAGAATACTAGGTATAAAGGAATATGCATTTCATAGGGACATTTTCTTTAAAATAATTTAGAGTGGTGTGTTTTTGAGCACCTTTCTCTCTGCATTATTAATTATCAATGCACGTTAATCTATAACTGTTTCCAAGTTAAAATATCAATTAAAATAAATGAATGAAAAAAAAACAAACAAAAAACTAAAAGAATATTTCACAGAGACAAGAATGGAAAGTTAGTATCTTGTATTGCTTGACATGCAATGTATTTATGCTTTGAGAACTCACATCACATGCTGTAAAAATGTACAATGATTAAACATAAATAATATAAAAAATAAAAAACTTATGAAAAGTAAACTACATGACCTGTCTTTTCATTCACAGTTGAAGTCTTGCCATCTTTTGTTTTTCTCTTGTACTTACCTTTTCTTCTTTTGTCCCATGCCTACAATCTGAGACCTGGGGATACAGTTTAATGAAGTTTCAATCAAAGCTCCATCCTTACTCAATTCATGATTAAACAATCCTGAATCCCATTTCTGTAATGAATTTCTGTAATGAATTTTCTAATAGTGTGTCTCAGAATGGTATTGTGTAAAAATTAAATGAAACAAGCCATATAAGCTTCTAACTTCAGTCCAAAGCACAATAAAGAGGTCTAAATAAATATCTTGTAATCACCCAATGTTACATAAGTGAGAGACTAAATGACAATTTTAATATTAAAAAAATATTTTAAAGATCTTTGTGATAGAATGTGTTCACTTTCATGAGAGAAACAGAGAAAAACAGAGAGAGAAAAAGTGAGAAATCAACCCCCCACTGTGGCCATGGTGCAATACCATCTCCTTTATTGTTTTCTTGGGATTTAGGACACACATGCACACATGCCTGGCATGATTTTCAAGCTGCTGGGTTCAGGATTCAAACCACAGTTGTCCACAACTCAAACACATGCCATCTTATAGCCCCTAAATGACAATTTTTAATATATATTATGAACATAAGACTCCCAAATTCTTTTTCAGAAACATTATGAAACCAAAGATTGTCATAAATACGTACGATTTTTTAGCATGTGAAGACAGTTCTCTCCTATATTGAAGAGGCAATATGATCAATTTCTGGAGATATCAACAGCTGTGTCTCCACCACAGTCTATGTTTTGGAAATTCAAGAGTCTCATAAGGACAAATTCCTCAGTTAGATTTGGAAATATTTTATTTTATTATTTGTTATTTACATTCAATCATTGTACATTCCTATAGCATACAATATTTTTCAAGACATACACATGCAGTATGTGACAATAATTTTTTTCCCTAGCTTTTGCTGTAGGGCACATACATTCACCAAGAGAGATGGAGAAAGAAAGGGAGAAGGAAAATGAGAAATCCCTTCCCAGGGGCATGCCCATGCTGCATTCCCTTCTCCTCAAGTCTCCTCTCAGGATTTTGTTTTGTTTTCATTTTTTATTATTAATTAATTTATTTTTTATATACATTCAATCACATTGTTCAGCTTGCAATGTGAGCATTTCAATATGTGGACATTTCTCCCCAGTCCCATTGATCAAAATATCTTCAACCAATAACACCACACCTCCCCATCCTATCAATGCTCTACCTTCTGTACCCCTTCTCCAAATGTCCTTCATTAGACCCCACTCCTCCACACACACATCATCCAACATTCACACCCATCTCTTGTGTTTGTACAACTGTTAGTCAATCAGTTTCAGTCAGTGCAGACATTCAGTATATGTTAAGTGGGAACATACAATGTTTCATACAATTGAAGGCACCAACACTACATAAGTGAAAGGCTAAATGGCAATTTTAAAGATTTAAAAATTATTTTTAAGATTTTTGTCATTGAAGGCACCCAGTTGCAGGAGAGAAACAGAGAAAAACAGAGGAGAGGGCAAGTGAGAAATCACCCCCACAAAGGATGGCCGTGCTGCAATCTCTTCTCCATTAATGTCTCCTTGGGATTTAGAGCACACAGGCACATGTGCCTGGCATGAGTTTCAAGCTGCTGGTTTCAGGATTGGAATGGCCGTTTAACCATGTGTGAGTCCAGCACCTCAAACACCATGCCACCTGCTGGCCCCTAGATGACAATCGTTAAAGTATGTTATGAGCATAAAATTCCCAAGTACTTTGTCACAAGCATCATGAAGCCAAGGATTATAGAGCTATGCATGGTTTTGTAGTATGTGAACACAGTTCTCTCCCTTGCTGAAGAGGCAATACGATCAGTTTCTAGAGATATCAACAGCTGTGCATCCACCATAGTCTATGCTTTGGAAGTCCAAGGGACTTGTAAGGACACATTCCTCAGTTAGATTTGGAAGAATTTTATTTTGTGATTTGTTATTTACAGTCAATCATTGTACATTTCTATGATATTTTTCAAAACATACACATGTAGTATGAGACAAAAATTTTGTAATTTTTATTATTATTATTATTTCTTTTAGTTTTTGCTGTAGGGCACACACATTCACCAAGAGAGATTGAGAAAGAGAGAGAAGGAAAATAAGGAAAATGAGAAATCAACTCCCAAGGGCATGGCCATGCTGCATTCACTACTCCTCTAGTCTCCTCTCAGGATTTTGGACACATATGCACTTGTGACCAGCGTGGTGTTCAAGCCACTGGGTCCAAGACTTGAACCATGTATTCAGCCAGTTGGGATCCAGCACTTTAACCTCCATACACCCTGCTGACCCATGACAATTGAAGTTTAACTCACAGTTGGTGAAAGTTGCTAATGACCTTTGGAGGCAGGAGAGTTCCCAGAGAACATGTACTAAAGACTGGATTCATCACACTTTCATCTTGGTCTCTTGAGAGCAGCAAATCAGTAGGAAAATGCTCTTTTCTTTCCAGACCAATGTCCATGAGGGAAATCAGGTACTAAATGGTTGTAGTTATAAAGAGGAAATGAGCAGACTTAACTAACGAATAGGCATAGATAACTGTAAATATTTAATCTGTCATTGTCTCTCAAGGAATATAGTCTTGGGCTGGGTAAGACATGGTTGATTTTTCTGGAGTCTCCAGACTGGCTAGGGGACCATGTTTAATTCTCTCATTGTGTTTTGTCTGGGGACAGAAATGCAGTCTTTATCATCAACTGTCCAGGGAGGAATTCACCCTTCCATAAGAAGACTGTCCTCTCTGAGTACTCATTAAGATGAGTCTGAGAGCCCGGTAGGTATCACAGGAACAGTTCAGTGAGAATGGATGCCAAGGACATCGACCTGAGGTCACCTGAGAGCCGAACCAGCCGAGCAGGAGCTGAGATATTGATGTGTGTGATTACTTGTCTGATCAAATTATTTATCTTTAATTTATTTAATATGTTAACAAGTCATGTGTCAGTCAGTTTTAGCAATGCAAGTAATATTGTGGACAATTTAGTGATGGGAATAGACATCCAATTGGATGAAAGTGAAGAAGGAGTGGGGGAAATAACATGATTTCAGTCAAATTAGAACATGTGCACAGAAATTTGCAGTTAAAGACGTAGGAAAAGTAGAATCAGAGTTGTGATAAGATGTGCAATAGCTTTCAGGACTCTTTTTTTTTTTTTTCTTTTTTAAGAGGTTTTTGCTATAGGGCATGTGTGCTCGCCAGACAGACAGAGAGAGACAGAGA